GTGAGCAGAATGAACCCGCCACGCCATGGCAAGGGCCTGCTCTTATTGGGTGTGGGTAGTGAGTCAGTCACATCCTTTATTCTTATTGGTAGGGCAAGGGGTGAGCCACCTCAAAATGACTAGATATACTGCAGAATTTCAAACTCTAGCCCAGACTACATCTTAGGTTGGGGGAAACTCAAAATCTTCTCTGACAGATCAGGGGCAATGAGACAGCCACATACATTGGTCAAATGTTACCCTAAAACAAACTCCCCAGTTATATAAAATTTATATTAATTTTATATCAAAAGATAGGTAGATAGGTAGATAGGTGGATAGGTAGGAAGGAAGGAAGGTAGGTAGGTAGGTAGGTAGGTAGGTAGGACTTCCAGTAATAAGGGTGCAGGGTTACATGACATTTTCTGTTTAACAAAAAAGCAGGCACTATATTCTTTGTAGTTTTGCCTTTCCTAGAGCACATGTTGCTTTTTAAAGCTTGCAAAACTGGTTTGACCAAAGATGGTACCTGACACATACATAAGCATGTGTACAATGACAGAAGTGGTTTATCTACAATTGTTCTTTCATATAGCTGAAAAAGTTACCTGGTCCGCCTCTATAGCAGGCATAGATAGGCATACTCGGCCCTCCAGATGTTCTGGGACTACAACTCCCATCATCCCTGACCACTGGTCCTGTTAGCTAGGGATGATGGGAGTTGTAGTCCCAAACATTGGAGGGGCGAGTTTGCCAAGCGTGCTCTATAGAATGCTAGTTATGCAATGAAAAGTGTGTATGTGTCTGTCTTAAAAAGTTTTTATGCCATTTCTGAAAAGGTTCCTACCAGATTTTCAATTTATATGTGCTCCTTTTATTGGGTACAAAGACAAAAAAGTAAATAAAAGTGTCTTCAGAAGACAATGGGTCATTGTGTCCAGTGGCGTAGCGTGGGGGGTGCAGGGGGGGCCGGCCGCACCGGGCGCAACATCTGGGGTTAGGGCAAATCCACAGGTTAGGGGGCGCAAATCCACGGGCTAGGGGGCGCAAATCCACGGGTTAGGGGGCGCAAATTACTTGCCTTGCCCCGGGTGCTGACAACCCACGCTACGCCACTGATTGTGTCTGGCTGTTAACCAGAAGGTTGGTGGTTTGAGCTCACTCAGGGACAGCTGTGGGCTGGATTCCTTCATTGCAAGGGGTTGGACTAGATGGCCCTTGGGGTCCCTTCCAACTCTAATTCTATGATTCTGTATTAATTGCTTTATTATATATAATGGCACTACGGTCTGCTGAAGTTGCATGAAAGATTTCAATGAGAATTAAACCACGTTCTCACGATGAAAGTGATTCTCTTAACTTAATGCATCTCTATTAGGAAACTTATTTATATTTCTATATTTGCATTCATCAATGAATTGAACTGAGAATAGTCTTTTCAAAATAATCTCATGAAACCTGTTTCTATCATTTGTATTAAGCATTCCATTAATTTTAAGAAAGCAGGTTCTAGAGCCCTAGGGCCTCCATATTAAGTTTATATCTGGAATATCCAAAAGTTTAATCTCTTGCTCTTTCACTCTTTCTTACAGTATATTTTTATGAGTAAAAAGAAAGCTTAGTTAACATGTATCACAGTAGCCAATGTGACTGCCTCCAGATGTTGCAGGATTACAATTCCCATCAGCCCCAGCCAGATCATGGGAGTTGTAGACCAGCAACTTCTAGAGCAGTGTTTCCCAACCTTTTTTGGGCAAAGGCACACTTGTTTCATGAAAAAAATCTCAAGGCACACCACCATTAGAAAATGTTTAAAAAATTAACTCTGTGCCTATATTGACTACCCTATTTTTCGCCCTATAGGACGCACCGGCCCATAGGACGTACCTAGATTTTGGGGGGGAAATAAAGGGGGAAAAATTATTTTCCCCCCCCAGACGCGGGGCTGGGGCGGGAGAAGCCCGAGCTTCCCCCGACCCCAGCCCCCAGAATGGGAGCCAGAGTGGCTCCCGGAGCTTGCGGGACTGGGGGCGGGGGAAGCCCGAGCTTCCCCCGCCTCCAGCCCCCAGAAAGGGTCCGAGAGCGATGGCAAAGGTGAGCGCACCTTCGCCATCACTCCCAGAGCTTGCGGGGCTGGAGGTGGGGGAAGCCAGAGCTTCCCCCACCCCCAGCCCCCAGAAAGGGTCCGAGAGCGATGGCGAAGGTGAGCGCACCTTTGCCATTGCTCCCGGAGCTTGCAGGAGCTGGGGGTGGTGGAAGCCAGAGCTTCCCCCGCCCCCAGCCCCCAGAAAGGGTCCGAGAGCGATGGCGAAGGTGAGCGCACCTTTGCCATTGCTCCCGGAGCTTGCAGGAGCTGGGGGTGGTGGAAGCCAGAGCTTCCCCCGCCCCCAGCCCCCAGAAAGGGTCCGAGAGCGATGGCGAAGGTGAGCGCACCTTTGCCATTGCTCCCGGAGCTTGCAGGAGCTGGGGGCGGGGGAAGCCGGAGCTTCCCCCGCCCCCAGCCGCCAGAGCAGGTCAGAGAGCGATGGCGAAGGTGTGTGCACCTTCGGCATCGCTCTGGGACCTTGCGCGGGCTGGGGGCGGGGGAAGCCGGAGCTTCTCCCGTCCCCAGCCCGCAGAGCAGGTCAGAGAGCGATGGCGAAGGTGTGCGCACCTTCGCCATCGCTCTGGGACCTTGCGCGGGCTGGGGGCGGGGGAAGCCGGAGCTTCTCCCGTCCCCAGCCCGCAGAGCAGGTCGGAGAGCGATGGCGAAGGTGTGCGCACCTTCGCCATCGCTCTGGGACCTTGCGCGGGCTGGGGGCGGGGGAAGCCGGAGCTTCCCCCCTCCCCAGCCCCCCGAACAGGTCAGAGAGCGATGGCGATGGTGTGCGCACGTTCGCCATCGCTCTCGGGGCTTGGGAGGCTGCGGGCGGGGGAAGCTGGAGCTTCCCCCGACCCCAGCCCCCCGAACGGGTTGGAGAGCGATGGCAAAGGTGCGCGCAGCTTTGGCATCGCTCTGGGAGCTTGCGCGGCTGGGGGGATAGCTTCCTTAAGCCTGGAGAGCAAGAGGGGTCGGTGCGCACCGACCCCTCTTGCTCTCCAGGCTTCAGCGAAAGCCTGCATTCGCGGCGATGGGATGTGGGAGGGAGCTCGCTCGCCGCCCCGCGTGTGCTCGCCGCCGGCGCCCCGCCTCTCGCCGCCCGACTCGCCCGCCTCCCTCCCACGGCACACTAGGCAACGTCTCACGGCACACTAGTGTGCCGCGGAACACCGGTTGGGAAACACTGTTCTAGAGGGCACCAGGTAAACTGCCACTGATCTGCATAATGTGGGCATATCAAGTTTAGATTAAGTAATGAAAGGTTCTCACTGTTTACGTATTATGCTGTTATGCACATAACTCTTTGCACTTAAATGATACTTAGGCCTATCTATTTTGATGTTGATAAACTTTCCATGGATTTCTAATTTTCAGGGGCCTATTTTTATTCCCAAATGGGTCTCCAACACTGCCTGACCCAATACCATCTACAGGAGAACATGGATGGGAGACATTTGAGGGATTGGCTCTTTGGGTCTGAGGCAGAAAGAGGCCTGACTTTTATTACTTTCTCTAAGTGCTCACCATGGTTTCCACTTATTAAATCTGTGAACTTTCGAGCTAGTTATTTGAAAAATCTTTTGTCTGCCCTGTAAAGAATCACCCTTACAGAGCTGCGCTTCCAGTCGATGCCTTCAGTGCTTCTGGACGGACAGTACAGTAAAATATGCTGCGAGGAAAGACTCCTTGGGGGCAACCACGCATGGAGGACATATAATTATGCCATTACTTATTGCGATGCCCACACAAACCCAAGCATGGGCATAGCCAGAATTTATGGGTGTGTGTGTGAGCAGAACCTCAGTTAGTTAAGTATTTTTATTGAATTACTTGTTTGGGGGTGGCAGCTGCCCCCCCCCCCGCCTGCCTTGGTTATGCCCATGGACCCAAGGGACTGATTTATAAAACCTGTGTTTGCAAAGGACATTAATTTAACCAGGGCAGAGAGGGTGAAATGGCTGCTGAGTGACGCTGATGACTCTCTAATTTAGAAAGTAGCTCCCTATGCCCTGGAAGTTGGCAGCTAGGAAGATTATGGCAAAATAACTTGATAAACTAGCAAAGGGGACGTGGAGATTTAATTTGTATACAGTGGTACCTCGGGTTACATACGCTTCAGGTTACAGACTTTGCTAACCCAGAAATAGTACCTCAGGTTAAGAACTTTGCTTCAGGGTGAAAACAGAAATTGTGCAGCAGCGGTGCAGCAGCAGAAGGCCCCATTAGATAAAGTGGTGCTTCAGGTTAAGAACAGTTTCAGGTTAAGAAAAGACCTCCAGAACGAATTAAGTTATTAACCCGAGGTACCACTGTATTTTGTATGAGAATTACCTCTTATCCTATGTAACAAAGAATTTAAGCAGATTTAACAGAGGCTTTATTGTATATGTAGCGATTGTTCATGTTTTCGAATGATTCGATGGCCTTTGGCTAGTGCAAGAAAGTTTATGATGATGATTTTTATTTCCAATTTCAGTTAAAAGCATATTCAGAGCTGTATGCCTGTGGAAACTTACCTGGGAGGAAGCCGGCTTGGGCTTAGCTCTCCAGAGGGCAGAGGAGGCTATTGCCCAATACAAAATACTTTTAAATGCGCCTGGAGCAGAGCACAGAACGTTAACATTTTGATATCCAACCTGCAGCCCAATCCTAAAACTGCATTCTTGAAAAATAAATACAATCTAGCACTGCATTTGAATGTTTAAGTGTGCAGTTTCGCAGCCTTTGGGGCGCCACTGGTTCTGCCGCGCGAATATTACTGAACTATATTACCACTTTGTCCTCGGGCTACTTGCGCCGTGGCCGCTCACGGTAAGAGCTGCGCGAAATTTGATAGTTACGGTAGCGAGGGAGGGGCGAGGATATATTGGGCGCGCGGCGGGGGCGGGTTGAGTACAGCGCCTGCGTGCTCGAGCCCGCGAGGCGCGCTCACCGTCCCTGCCTCGCGAGCCTCGGTGAAAGGATTTGGCGCCAGGCGGGTCTCTCTTCTGCAGCTGCCGCAGCCACCCGAGCCAGCCACCTCCGCCCAGACCGCATCGAGTCCTTGCAGCCGCCGCCATGAGCTGCTCCCCGGTGAACGTGAAGAAGCTGAAGGTGTCGGAGCTGAAGGAGGAGCTGAAGAAGCGGCGCCTCTCCGACAGGGGCCTCAAGGCCGAGCTCATGGAGCGGCTCCAGACCGCGCTCGACCAGGAGGAGGCCGGCGGGGGAGGCCTGGCCGGCGGAGAACCCGGCAACGGCAACGCGGAGGAGATGGGCGAGGCCGCTCCGGGCAGCGGCGGAGCCCAGGAGGAGGACCTGGCCCTGGGAGGAGGAGGAGGAGGAGGCCCCGACCAGGCCGCGGCGTGCGACGACGATGAGGAGGCCGAGTTCGGCGCCTGCCCCGGGGAAGAGGAGGAGGAGGAGGGCATGGAGCTGGGCGAGGAGAACGGCGAAGGGGTGACGGCCGGAGACGAGGAGGCGGCCGAAGACCTGGAGGACGACGAGAATGGCGACGACCAGGGCTTCCAGGAAGGGGAGGACGAGGAGGAAGAGGCCGCCGCCGGCGCCGCCACCGCAGCCACCACTAGCAGCGGCGGCGGCGGCAACGCTAACGGCCACGGCGCCCAGCAGCAGCAGCAGCAGCACGGCGCCGCGGCCAAGGAGGCTGCCGGGAAAGGCGCTGCTGCCTCGGAGGCCTCGGCCTCGACTCCGGCCTCCTCGGCCCAGCCCGGCGCGAAGCAGCTGTCACCCGCCCAGCAGCAGAAGCCCGGCGGGCCTGCTCGTCCTGGGGGTGAGTAGTGCGTGGGACCCGGATGGGCGGCGGTTGGGAGCTCAGCAGCGAGGTCAGGGTCCGCCGCCATCTTTCTCTTTCCCTCCCCCCCCATCTCCACGGCCACCGCGCCTTTCCCCCCACCGCTGTCGGTGAAGTGGGGAAGGCCCTCCCCGCGCGCCTGCCTTTGGGGATTTCCAGGCCAGGCCCGCCGCGTGTCTGCGGGGGGGGGGGAAGAGCTTTGCGCCATTTCGCGAGCGTGGTGAGGAAGGGGCGCGCGAGGCGGGGGGAGGGGCGACTCGCAGGAGCCGCTGGGGCGCGCTGTGGAACGTGCGAGGGAACGTTTTGTGCTGTTCTGCGTCACATCCGTCCGTGGGGCGCTGTGGGCTCGAGTTCAAACGCTGAGTACAATGGAGGCGGAGGAATCCCTTTCGCAAAGCCTAGGCCGCGCGCGCCTGCCGAAATCAGGCCGTGGCGGGGGGAGGGGAAGGATGAGGAAGAGGTGGGCCTTTTGAGAGCCGCCGCTTAGGCGCGATCGTAGATCCGAGCGAAGACTTTCCCTGCTAACTGGGAGGTCAAGTCGACAGCGGCAAACGTCAGGCGGGGGGCAGACCTTTAGTTTTCTGCGCACTTAAAGTTCCAAGATTTACGGGAAGCGTTGTTACAAATGCACCGCGAGAGTAGATGTTTTCCTAATAAGAGTAAAAAAGTCTGCTGGATTTTATCGTTTCTAACGTATCTTATTTCCCTCTTCAAAAAAACGAAGGAGAAGCTAAAGCTGAGCAAAAACCTGGTGAGAAAAAAAGGGGAGTTAAGCGGCCACGTGAAGACCATGGGCGAGGGTATTTTGAGTATATTGAAGAAAACAAATACAGCAGGTAAATCACTTTGGCGTGTTAAAGTTTTTCATGAAAGATTTTAATAATTTCGATTTGTTGAACTCAAGTGACTGACCTTTTTTTGTTGGCCAGGGCAAAGTCTCCTCAGCCACCTGTTGAAGAGGAGGATGAACACTTTGATGACACAATGGTTTGTCTTGATACTTGTAAGTATAAAAACATGCTTGTCGTTTAAAACAAACTTCTAAGACAGTCTGTTGATTCTTTAAAAAAAAAAATTGGGGGGGGGTCATTTGTGTTCCTGAGGTACAATTCCTGCTCTTCTCTGAAATTTTAGTTTTCAATGCATTAGCTTTGAATTTAATCAGAACACAAAAGTGTAAAGTGTTCTGTGCAAAAAGTGAGGCACAAAGGGAGAAACTGATGCTTTCAAAGGGGAACCATTATTTGAAAAACAGGGAGATAAGAGATATGCTAATTGTGTAACACTACTTTTGGAAAGTGGTGGAATTTTCCACCTTGTATTGCTTAGTATGTCTGCAGATGTTGGTTGCAGCTGCAATCTTGCTGCCTCCCGTCTGGACTGGGGGCAGGGTATATTTGGAGTGCCAAGTCAATCTTGAGTTTTATTGGTAGAATAATGGAAACTGATAAGGAATATGTTTGAAAATTGTTACCAAATGATAATTTAAGGGCATGTGTATTCTAACAAGATGATAAGCCATTGTTTGATGTTGTAGGTAATTTCGTAAGCTTTCACTTTAGAGCTTCATGCACATTCAAAATGACTTTATTAAGAACAATGAAACTTTAAAAAGCTCTGAGAAGTTATTCTGGGACAGTCTACAGTTATTTTGGCACATTTTCATTGCTCATGGAAAAGTAGTGAACTGTTGCACAGACAGGTTTATAGAGGGATTATGGAGGTATTTCCAGAAGACAAAGTGGCTATGCGATACTAATCCTCTGTTTGAAAAGTGATAGTACTGGGCAGTGAAGCTGCTGATTGTTGATGTTTTAGAAAATTTCAAATTTTCATATGCTGCAGCATAAGATAAGAAAAGTAAGAGTAAACAACTTTATCATGTGCATGTTTACTTAAGTAAATTCTACAGAGTCCAGTTCAAGCTTAGTACTGTATTGGATATGTCCAGAATTGCATCTTAAACTGCAGTCCTCTGCACCCTTGGAAGTGAGGCTTACACTTTCTATTTCACTTACATAATATGAAAGTATTGTTTGATAGAACACTTGAGAGTATTTATAGCAATGTTTTTATCTGTTTGAATAGCGACTCAATGGCTCTATAAAAAGCAATAATCTCTTGAGGTGTTGAGACATTTGTATTATAAGACAACTTGTGTTTTGCTGAACATTGTCATCTTGACATCCTTTCCCAGTCTACAGCTTATACATGGAAAGTGGTATCAAAATAAGTTTTACTCTGATTAGACCCATTGAAATTAATGAACATTACGAAGTCAGGTCAATTAATTTCAGTGGGTTTACTTTAGGTAAAACTTAGTTGCATACCATCCCATGGTTCTTATGTTTTATATACTAGAAAACATAATTACATTTGGCAGAGCACCAGATAAGAGCACATTTTAAGCACACAAAACTAGCCCAAGACAAATGATGATTACTTCATAGGGTATGTGTGAAAACACATCATAGATAAGTTAAACATAGATAATCCTGATTTCAGAGTGAAATAAGATGATAAGCTTAGGTCTTGAGCAAACTTCATCACTTTGCTTGAGAGCCCTTAAGTACCCTCAAGTAAAAGGGGGACTGAGTTAAATTTTGACTAATTCAAGAGTTACCTGTTGTGACAAAGAATAGCACTAAACTGATGTAACTTGATTCTTACAAGTGTTCTCCACTTTTTTGTTTGACTGTAGTTGAACAGATTTCAACCGTTTGATTTTCTTTTATTGACAGATAACTGTGATCTACACTTCAAAATTTCAAGAGATCGTTTTAGTGCTTCCTCATTGACAATGGAAAGTTTTGCCTTTCTTTGGGCTGGAGGGAGAGCATCCTATGGAGTTTCTAAAGGAAAAGTCTGTTTTGAGATGAAGGTAAGCCAGATCAGTATTGAAGACAGTTGTTCAACATTGCTTCTGAATGCTTATAGTTTCAGCTGAAATTAAGCTAAATGAGGAGAGGAGAAACTACATTTTATTATGGAAAATATGTATTCTTGATTTCAACTGGGCAGTCATGCCCATTTCCAAGATACTCCCAGTCTATTCCCACCTATATGCTCCCTAACAGTCAGCATTTTGTGGGCAAGTTCAGCCTTTAAAAGAGCTGGGGGTATTTTTCTGGGGTGTGTGCCAATTCCCCACCCGTCAATACTGCCCCTCATTAGCATGAAAGGTGTTTTCTTCACTGCACAGGCATGCACACTCAGAATCATTTAAGTATGAGTATTATGCAACTCAGAATAAAAATAGCTAAGACCATAACAGGTATTTTATGAATACCTGGAAAATTTAGTAGTAAAGTGCTATTTAACACACTCAAGCAATTATCCAATTAACCTACATACAAAAACCAGAATGGTTTCTTCAATAATAATAGCATTTTGCAGCAGATCCTACACGTAGTATGCTTATTACCATCATTCAACATAATGTGCTTACCTGGTCTTCACCAACATCTAGGGAGTTCACCCAAGTAAGGGAGTGAATTGCCACTAGAGGGATGGAATGATTGATCCCTCTTGAAACAGTCTGTGTCTCTGTGCTGGGTGTGGACCAGGGTATGTGTTTCCTTTTTGTCCAACATGGTCACATGGGAAAGGACCACACTGTTCCTTGATTATTAGCCTGCTGTTGCAATGCTAGATTCCCAGCTGGTAGACTACATAGTGTTTAGCATAGAAACATGGCAAGCTGCACTTTTATGCTTGGTGCACAAGGTGCAGCAAGTTGGTTGAGGAGGCACAGAGCACTTGTTACTGGCTTGCAATATACAGTGGTACCTCGGGTTACATACACTTCAGGTTACATACTCCACTAACCCAGAAATACTACCTCGGGTTAAGAACTTTGCTTCAGGATGAGAACAGAAATCGTGCTCTGGCGGCAGCGGGAGGCCCATTAGCTAAAGTGGTGCTTCATGTTAAGAACAGTTTCAGGTTAAGAATGGACCTCCGGAACAAATTAAGTACTTAACCTGAGGTACCACTGTATTTTACTAGCCTGCAATTTGCTCATAAGAGGAGCTGAAAACTTTTTTTAAAAAAAAGTGTACAAAAGACTGGTAATTTTGGAGCCTGATTGACAAGGCTAGCTAAGCTATGCTTTTATTATAACTGTAATTAATAGCAGTTTTTTTATTACAAAAATAGGTAACTGAAAAGATCCCTGTCAAGCACCTGTATACAAAAGACATTGACATACATGAAGTGAGAGTTGGCTGGTCACTGAACACAAGTGGGATGCTGCTTGGTAAGCTTTTCCTTTAAAATGTGGATTGTCATGGGGATTCATCTTTTTTGTAGGAATGAGTGTAGTACTTTTCTGGGTGCTTAAAAGAGGGAGATGATGAATCACTGTAGACAGAAAATGCGTAGTAAAACTTAATTTTGAAAACAGAATAACTACAACCACTATTTTTGTTAGTAATGGTAGTTACAAGTTACTTGTGATCTATGGAATCTGTTCCAGAAAGCTCCCTCTCAGTACTTCGTCAAAAGGAATATAGGGAAGTGTCAGCATACCTGACATCCTCTATATTTGGGTAAAGAATAGTGCTTTGAATCAAATCCCTTTAGCAACAGCACTCTTCACCTTTGTACCTATTTCATGTCTCTGTCCGCCTGCGGAGCCTGGTACAGAAGGAAATGGCTCCAGCACATGTAGGAATCTGGGCTAATTCATTGTGTGCTTGCCAGAAGTGAGTAGTTGGGTGCGAAGCTGAACTCCTATGCAGCTAATTTCCTTGGATTGGAAAGAAAATAATGGGACTTTCCCACCAGACCTGTGCTCTGAGCTCTCTCACATGAGCCATTCTTAATTTGCAGTGTACCACAGTGCTAGGATTCTGCAGTGGGTGGGGGGTATCTGTATGGTACAGCTTTTATAGAAAATCTTGAGGTTGAATGTTGGGTTACAAATACAGTAATTCAGAACTTGAAAGCCTCAATTGCAACTGTTCAAATTTATCAGGTGAGGAAGAGTTTTCTTACGGATACTCCTTGAAAGGAATAAAGACATGTAATTGTGAGATTGAAGACTTTGGTGAGAAATTTGATGAAAATGATGTGATCGGATGTTTTGCTGTAAGTATTTCCTTACTTGGAATGTCAGTTTCTATTTGCTGCTGTGCAGTTACCTGCTTTATAACAAAATGCACAACTTCATTTCCTTAATTAGGTATTGCACCTTTGCTTAATTTTCAAGTGTTTAGATTTTCCTTTAAATATCCACTCAAGCCTTACTAGATTTATTTCTAATTAATGAACCTGCCTAAGTTCATTTATGCTAACACTTTTTTTTGTACAACAGAATTTTGATGGTGATGAAGTGGAACTTTCTTACTCAAAGAATGGACAGGAACTTGGAGTTGCTTTCAAAATCAGCAAGGAAGTTCTTTCTGAAAAGCCCATTTTCCCCCATGTTCTCTGCCATAACTGTGCTGTTGAATTTAACTTTGGCCAGAAGGATGAGCCGTACTTCCCCATACCAGAGGGGTACACCTTCATCCAGAATGTTCCCTTGGAAGATAGAGTTAGAGGACCCAAGGGACCAGAGCACAAGAAAGAATGTGAAGTAAGTAACGGTCCATTTTGAAATCATTGAAGCATGCCAGCTTGAGTATTTGTCTTGAGGCAGTTGATGTGGGTACCACAAATGACAAGCCTTGTCTGTAGGGCAATTGGGGTATAAAATAAGAGCTTTCTTTTTTTTATGCCTAAACTCATTAGGTGGTAATGATGATTGGCTTGCCTGGTGCTGGGAAGACTACATGGGTTACCAAACATGCAGCAGAGAACCCTGGGAAGTACAATATCCTTGGAACAAATACTATTATGGACAAAATGATGGTAAGTTCCAACTCCTGCACAAATTTAGCATAATTCTATGGGTAGTTCATCCCACTATGTTCAGTGGGACTTATTCCCTACCTTAATTTTTAGGATTGCAACTTTAAGGTAACTCATTTGGAAACTTGTAGCCATCATGCATCTATTGTAATAAAGCTTAGATGTCTTTAACTCATTTAAGGGTACTGCTTTAGCAGTTGATGGCCCACTGAAAAGCTTTATTTCTATGGAGCGGGTATTTTCTAGATTGTTCATTTGGAAACTTAGAAGAAGCTGTTATTCCCCTAAAAGTATACACATCCTGCTTGAAATATTGGAACTCCAGATAAAAATAAGTCCAACTTCGTTTAGCTGTAGGCCATTACGTGACACATTTGTTTTGAGATTTGCATGGTATATTAATAGTAAAGTGTCTGAATTAAACATTGCAAGGCACTGAATGATGCGATAAATTGGGTTGGCCTGTTTAATTCTTAGGATTGATCTCATGAGCATTTAGAACAAGTCATGTATTGCAAAACCATTGCCTAAAATGTTTATGGTATTAGCAATTACAGACAATTTCTTGCTATTAAAAATACCCAATGAAAAGAACATTAATGGCAGTGAATGCTGGGCAACTTCTGTTTTCATAGGTTGCAGGTTTTAAGCGGCAAATGGCTGATACTGGAAAACTCAACACACTGTTGCAGAGAGCACCACAGTGTCTTGGCAAGTTTATTGAGATTGCTGCGCGTAAGAAACGGAACTTTATTCTGGATCAGGTATGGGGGCAAAAGTTCATTGTTTTACAAAATTCAGTTAAGCTGCCATTTGTTTAAGGGGGGTGTAGATTCTAAACTTCAGTGGGAGATACAATATATATATTGAGGCAATAAAGTTAGAATATTAGCAGTTGTACTTAGGTTTGTAATATACATGAAATCAGGGGGAGAATGGTTATCCTAGCCTCTACGGCCTAACATGTACATAACTTCCTTCTACTTGTAACTTCTTTGCATTTATACATGTGGAGGTGAAATCTAAGCACACTAATTTAACTTAGCTCTAACAATGACAGCTTACGTGTAGTAAGTTACTGCATTTTTTTTCAGACAAATGTGTCTGCAGCTGCGCAGAGGAGAAAAATGTGCCTGTTTGCAGGCTTCCAGCGCAAAGCAGTTGTTGTTTGCCCAAAAGATGAAGACTACAAGCAAAGAACACAAAAGAAGGCAGAGGTGGAGGGAAAAGATCTTCCAGAGCATGCAGTGCTCAAAATGAAAGGCATGGAACATAATCTATACTGTGTTTCTAGGATGTTGAGTATCTGTTTAAAGGAATAATGTAAAAACCTAAAGATTCAAAATTTCTTGCCTTAAACAGTTATGCCTCTTTAAAAAAAAACTGGAAGACTTCTGTAACTTTGTAAAGACAACACTATATTGTGTTCCCTCTGCTGCAGCCTTAATACTACTTAAGTTCATGATATGCTTCATGCAGATGCACAAAGCTGTCTTGGCATAAAGTGCCCTAGAAAACGAAGCTAAACGTGTTAATAGCAGACGTGTGTTCCCAGTTCAACTTAATAGGGAGAATGTGTCAAGTTTTCAGGAATCCTGCTCCTAGCTTGAAGTGATGATTACTTGTCTTGTATTCCTTTATATAGGAGGGGAACTTTGGCTTTTTCTAATGGCTTCAGAAATAAATACTGAATATTCAGGACTCTCTATCTTGTAGGAAAATTTTACTCTGCCAGAGGTGTCAGAATGTTTTGATGAAATAATCTACGTAGAGTTGCAAAAAGAAGAAGCCAGAAGCTTCTGGAGCAGTACAAAGAAGAAAGCAAGAAGGCCCTCCCTCCAGAGAAAAAACAGAACACTGGTTCAAAGAAAAGTAACAAAAGAGTGGTAAAAACCAGTTTAACAGAGGTGGACAGAGAGGACGTGGTGGATTTAACATGCGTGGCAACTTCAGAAGGAGGAGGTATCCTGTGCTCCTAAAACTGCCTCTTAATATTTTAATTTTATACCCGAGGTTTTAGTTGCTTGCCCCAAAGAAAAGCAGAGCTTTGAGAATAGATCAATGTGGATGGAGACAATGTCTTCATTTCTGAAAAAAAAAAAAAAAATACAGCTGGAGGGGCCCAGGCATGGCTTTGATTTAGCAGGAAAAAAACAATGTAATTAAGCATCCTGAAGCTTAATTTTTTTAAAGAAGCAGCTAGGTGTATGTTTATGGACAGAACCTCATGAAATCACCAGTGCTTGGGCTGAATAAGTTTTCCGTGGTTTGGGAGAGGGCTGTCACTATCTTTCCCCATAACTGTTCTTAAAGCAACCTCAGTTTGGGACTCTATAACAGTTTTCAGATGCCTTGCCCCATGGAATTTGAATTTTGTCTTCCAAGTTCAAAGCTCCTTTACTAGAAAAAACTAACTTGTGCACAGGCTGAAATTAATGTCTATTACTAAATAGTCTCGTACTTCTCTTCACCAGCCCCCTGGGTCAAATTAAAGTCTGTCATTTGGTCCAATATTAATATTCTAACATTTTTCACAGTCCCCTGGAAATCGTGGAGGATACAACAGGAGAGGTGGTAACATGCCCCCAACGTGGAGGTGGAGGAGGTGGTGGCAGTGGTGGAGCAATAGGCTACCCATACCCCCGTGGTCCTGTCTTTCCGACCAGAGGTGGCGGTGGCGGAGGAGGTGGTTACTCAAACAGAGGAAACTATAACAGAGGTGGAATGCCCAACAGAGGGAACTATAACCAGGTAATTTGCTGTAGTCAGGAAGATGGCATTTTTGGCTGAATCTTTTGGTGTTCTCTTAGCAACCAAGTACAGAAAGCATGTTTAAAAGTGTGATCCTAATAATAACGATACTGTTCCTGAAGTATATGATGTACAATGTTTTTTCAAAGTTATATAACACGTGCAATCCTGTAGTGCTGAAACTTAAGTTTTTTAATTGTACTTTTGTCTTACGCTGTTCCCAGTAGTTTCTGTCTCAAGGAACTGATTAGGTCTATGCTCGGTGTTTAAGGCCTGCATTAGGTGCTCTCAAGACCAATATATAGGAGCTGAAAGATGTACAGTGGTACTTGGTTTATGAACTTAATCTGTTCTGGAAGTCCATTCTTAAACCAAAGCGTACTTAAACCAAGGTGTGCTTTGCCATAGAAAGTAATGCAAAATCCATTCCAGACTTCTGAAAACAAACCCCTAAATCAGCAATTTAACATGAATTTTACTATCTTAACAAGACCATTGATCCATAAAATGAAAGCAATAATCAATGTACTGTATTATAAAAAAAAAAACCAGTATTGTAGATGATTAAAAATTTTTAAAAAAATTTCTGTGCACTGATAACAGTCATTGTTTGGATGTGGGGCTTTTATCCATTTCCACAGTCATGGGGGAGAGTTGCGAGTCCGCCAACCATATGGCTAGCGGGCGCAGCTTCCCTCCCTTGTGGCTGCGGGAAATGCCGTGATGACCCCCTTCTCCGCTGCCGGACAACGGAAGTGTGGCACTTAAAACGGAAGTGCACCCCGAATGGAGTATGTTCACACTCCAAAAAAAATACGCAAACAAGAACACCTATTTCCGGTTTTGAAGTGTTCGTAACTAGGCTGTTCGTTGGCTAGGCTGTTCATAAACTTGAGGTACCACTGTATTGGAAACATAGGGTTTTAG